TGTGTGTGTGTGTGTGTGTGTGTGTGTGTGTGTGTGTGTGTGTGTGTGCAAGCTGTCAGTGTCCAGTGATAATGAGAATCAGAAGCCCGAGTGCAAATAAGAAGCCAGGACTCTGTATTCCTGAAGCTGCCCACACACACACCTCTTTGCAGCAGTCACGTACTCTGCTGCCCACGGAGCTTGCTGCTTATGACCCACTCCTGGAGCAACCAAGCATGGCAGTTACCCAGATCCCGGGCCGCTTCAGTTCTGCCTCCTGAGTCCATGGGCAATGTCTCCTGTGGAATACTGCTTTCCTCTGTGGAATACTGCTTTCCTCTGAGCCTGGGTACTGCTTTACAGTCCAAAGCAGTGCTCCTGGCAGAAGTGCTCCCGGCAGGAGTGCTTCCGGTAGCCCTTGTTAGTCAGTCACATGTACCATAAGGTAACACCTATTTATCTCCCCTGACTAAAATTTCAAAACTAGGACTGAGGGTTCTGGATAGTGTTTGGGTCTGGGAATCACTGCACAAACCACTCAGAAATCAATCTCAGTCAAACAGGGCTGGTTTATTGAAAGCATACTCCAAGACTAATCAGTCAGGGATGTAGTCAGACTTGAGAGATGAACTTTGACCTTGAATCAAGATCCTCTAGGGCTTTTAAGACTAAAATTTACAAACATCTGTGCCACGTTTTTCTACCAATCAGAACTTAGGGATAGGAGACTTCTTTAGGAACACGCCTTTATCCTGGTCTCATTGGCTGGGGTATTCAACTGTGGCAGATTTGCTTTGCCTAACATTTATGTCTTAATTTGCCAACCAGGATGTCAGTTACTCATGTACATGTCTCTGCCAAATAGGATGTCAGTTCCTAGGGAGGTCTTGGGAACTTAAACTTTACTCAACCCCTACTCAAAATGAAGCCCTTATTTCAAATGACTTCTTATATTGGTGCAGGTGTCTCTTTTATGTTGGGGTCCATTTGGGGTCCATTCCATGGGCAGCAAGAACCACAAAAGCTTGCACACAGGTACAGGAAGTGCTGCCTGGCAGTTGGTTCAGATCCAAGCTTATTGTGGGAAACTATACAAAGCAGTTCTACCTGACTTTTATTGTGACTGGTTTCCAAGAACACCAAAGTACAGAACATACCAGAATATACGATCAACTTGGAAAATTTCCTAGTAACAGCACAAAATGGCCAGCTAAACAGCCAACAGTTACCTAGGGCTTAAGAGAGAGACAGCTCTCAGCAGTTCCGAGCATCTGTTGTTCTTGCTGAGGATCCAGGATTCTCATCACTTACATTGTGGTTCACGACTATTCATGATTTCAGCTCCGAGGGATCTGACATTTTTCTAACCTCTATAGGTACCAGACATGCTTATGGTATGCATACATTTGTACAGACAAACACTTATACACATAAAATAAAAATGAAAAAAATAAAAGATTTATTTATTTATTTATTTACTTATGAAGTCAGGATTGGGTATGACAGAGAATCCCAAGTTGAGACCGGGAAGAGCTGAGACACTAGGGTTGAGCATTGTATAACAGATAGGGAAACAAGACAGAAGACAGCACAGAAGTCTGTCTACGGTCACCTTCCTACTTATCAGAAGGTCAGGTCTGTTGACTTGAATTTCCTAATCCTGTTTTCTTGGTCAGCTGCCTGTCTGAATTCTGCTACCCAGATTTCTTTGCGTCTATGAATGTTCAGAAAATTCTCTTGCCAGGCCTGCACCCTGAGACAAAGTCAGTATTTGTCACAACTTCCACGTTGAACCTGACAGGAAGACAGGTTGGGCCACGAAACGTAAATACGAAACTGCTCTTGGCTTGCTGGATCAGGATTCACCAGTGTTTATTTTGGAGATGGTACCAAGCAGTGGGGCCAGGGAGAAAGAGTACCAGAGAATACAGCTTGTGTGTCAGCAAGGGACACCCGCTCATCATATGACCCGGTAAACTCTTTTTTTTTTTTTCTAGATAGGGGAAGTCCCTGGTAATTTAAAAGCTATTCAGGAATCCCAAGGTGTCCTGATTAAGGGGCAGGCTCAGAAGTGAGATAGAACAGCTTTAAGAACCAGCTTCACTGTTTTCTTGCTGACTGAACAATATTCGCCTCCCCCAACCCCTTCAGTTTTTTGTTTGTTTTGAGACAAGGTATTGCGCTGAAGCCAGAGTGTTCCATGGAGCCTACATTGGCCTTAAGTTCACTGTAATCTTCTCATTTTAGCCTCTGGAGTGCTGGGAACCTGGAGTTGAATCTCTACCCCTGTCTTGGTGTAAGGATTGAAAGAAATAATTCATGGACAGTGCTTAGGTCTACACTTGTTCAGGGCCAGCAGGGTCAGCAGTAAGCACCTGGTAATATAAGTGAAACCAAGGAACAGGAGGTTCCAAGTACTGGTCTCTCCACCACACCAGCCAGTAAACTTTTTAAATTCTGCAATCTATTACCAAGAACAACAAAGAACAGACAAACAAACAAACAACAAACAAAAAACAGCTATCGGGCCCAAAATGCTAAATTTTGGCATTTAACAAAATCTCTAAGGTTGCTGGTTAACTGCTGAGAAACCAGGAAAGAAAACTCTGTGATCACTGCAGTCTGCAGCTATGAGCAGCAGCAGCCAGCAACAGCTGTTGTACAACAGAGAGTCAGGTTTCCGGAGTCAAGACATTGGAATATCCAGAACACCCAGTTTTCAACAAAAATTTATAAAGGGGGGAAAAAAAAACAAAGCAGACACTGTCCCCAAGGAAGCCCAGCCGTCGGGCCTAAGAGGCAAAACTTGATGTCGGCATCTTCCCTGTGCTCAGAGTGGGGACGGAAACAGTGATGAAGAGCTAAGCCAGGAAATCGCTTCTGAACTCAGAATAGTGGTGTGTAGACAGAGATTATAGCAGACACCAAATAGAACTTTTGGAGCTGGAAAGTGTAACAGGTAAAATTTAAAAACAAATATATATATATTTTAATAAAAATGTTGAGCTTTGCCTGCAGCCTTGAGGCAGGATAATTGCTGAGCTTGAAGACAGGTCTGTTGAAACGATCTAGTTTGAGGAGCAGGAAAAAAAAAAAAAGAGAAAATGAAAAAGGACGGTCCATGGGATGCAAGTGCACTCACATACTTATAGCTGGAGTCCCAGGACGAGATGGTCCATGGGATGCAAATGCACTCACATACTTATAGCTGGAGTCCCAGGACGAGATGGTCCATGGGATGCAAATGCACTCACATACTTATATCTGGAGTCCCAGGACGAGATGGTCCATGGGATGCAAGTGCACTCACATACTTATATCTGGAGTCCCAGGACGAGACAGAGAAGGAAGCCGAAAGGACAAAGAAATGTGGGTTGAAAATGACCAAAGTTTATGAAAGACAGACTGTCTCCATTCAGAAAACAACAAACTGACGGAAATTTAAAGACACACAAGATGGCATCATGATCAGGGCTACAGTTGACTCTGTAGTTACCGCCTCTGCCGTGAATGACACTGTCATCATTCCACACTCCTGGAAGCAGGGGTGGCTCCTATTTCAGCCAGCTTCAGGGCAGGACCAACTCAACACCTTGTGAACATGTGGGAAACCAAGCATTTGGAGCAGGTCTGTATTCTTGCCCTGTCCCTCACCATCTCTATGGCCTCTCTCTCCTTTCCTGTCTCGCTCCCTTCTGACAGGGTCTTGCTATGTATCCCTCGGATGTATGTATGTTTGTAACTTCCTCGGAGACCAGACTGCCCCCAAACTTCCCAGTAGCCTCCTGAGACCTGGGGTCACTGTGCCCAGGTACTAGCTCTGTGGTTAGGACTGGTTTCAGAAGTTCTCTGACTCCTCAGACTTCTTATCTTTAAAAGTGGACAGAATAACCAGGCAACTTTCAGGATAGCACATTTGGTGAGACTTGCCCATGAGGCACGTATGGAAGCAGCTAACAGAATCAGCACGTAGAAAAGACTAATGCTATGAGGGAACTTCTGAACACTGTGCGGTGGTCAGACTTTGGTCAGCTTGACACAGGCCAGGGTCATCTGGGAAGAGAGAACTTAAACCGGGGAACATTTTCTTGGTTAATGATTGATGTGAGGGGTGCTTATTCCTGGGTAGGTGGCCTAGATGGTATAGAAGAAGAATTATTAAAGGAAAACTTTTATTTCTTATTACAGACTTATTGTTGGAAATAAGTTTTTTTTTTGGTTTCATGTTGTACTATACGTATTACAAGTATTTTGGGTTTTTTTTTTTTGGCCCATTTTCTTAGTGGAACTTATCATCAAGGAAGAAATGACCAGCTATGACTGGACAAAACAAAGCTGAGATAAATTAATCTTGTATCTGTCCTTGAAAACACACACACACACACACACACACACACACACACACACAAATTCATTCATAGTTCTAAAAACAAAGGTAACACTTTGTATTTTATCACTTATTAAGGCTTATCTTTCAATTCAGCACATTTGGCATTCTTGTTCAATATATAGTTTATTTGACTTAGGAAAAAAAGTCATGTGTCCTGTCATTGGCCTCTGAGGCATAATTTTCATATACTTTCTCTCTTCAAAACCTATTGACTGGTCTGGACACAGTGGGAATTTGCTAGTAGCCACAGGACTATCACTCATTTCTCTTTTTCCTTCAGTCACATAAGTCACATAAGTCCTTTGTAACCTGAGTAGGTTTGGCCAGAAATCTGAAGTCAGCTTGAAAGAAAAGAAGGATATTCCCCTCCCCACCCCCAAACCCAGGAGGCTCATGGGAATACTTTGGCAAGAAACACAAGTTCAGATTGGCTGTCAACATGTTAAACTGAGAGTCAGAACTTCAGGTTACAAGCAGGATGGACTAAGTATTTACAAAAAGCAGAATTAGTATCCTGAAAGATCCAGGCAAATGTTTGTGTCCCTCAAATGCACTAGTGTCACAGGTCTGTGGTCCGAGGTGGTTGAGTTGCATACTGAGGACATAAAACCTTCATTCATGTACATTTAAACACTGGCCTGAAATGAGCTCAGGAGGATGCCCTGGAGGTTGGAGACTTGCTTGCCCAGTTTCCTTTAGAAGAGGAGTTTACTAACGAGAAAAACAAGCAGGATATGGAGGGCACCTGCCAGGGGGCTGCTGAGAGTACGGATGGCCAGGCTTCTGGCTGTGGTCTTGGCTGTGCTCACGGCTGTGGTATTGGCTGTGTTCTCAGCTGTAGTCTTGGCTGTAGTCTTGGCTGTAGTCATGGTCTGGCTGGTCTCAAAACTCTCAGGAGTGGGGGTCAAGATTGAAGAGTTTACTGGGGAAGGGAACAAAAACCAAAGAGACAATTTTATCAGGCCTTTGTTGGGAGGTGGGAGGGCACTAGACAAAGATGCTAAAGTCTGGCAAGATGGCTCAGCTGGTAAAGGCACTGTCATTGAGTTTAATCTCATGGAAAGGTGGAAGAAGAGAAATGACCTCAAAGTGCTCACCTCTGACCTTCACACACACGTTGCATATGTACGCACATAATAATGATAATCTTTTTAAGACAGTAAAGCCAGAGATGATGAGGAAACAGCAATCAACACTTCTCCAGTGTCACACAAGGAAGAGAGCTGTGGCAGCTCAAAGGCTCAGAGTGTTAACCAATAACAGTAACTTAAGTCTCTGTCCTTAAGGACTCCCTGATCTTTTCTCCTTCGATTATTTGTTTTAGAAATGCACATTAAGTGTTTCCCTGCGTGTCTGCATGTGCCTCACATACACGAGGTGCCCTCAGAGGCCACAAGAGCATCAGATTCCCTAGAGTTGGAGTTACATTGTTGTGAGGCCACTTGGGTGCTGGGTATTGAACCTGGGTCCTCTGGGAGAGCAACTGTATGTTCTCAACTGCTGAGCTGAGCTAACTCTCCAGCCCCTACATAGTCTGTTGAGAAGAAGAAAAGACCCGAAGAATTTATAAAACATGTGAATCTGTCATTAGTTGAGTAGTGTGCTCTCAAATATCTTTACTCTTACCTGTAGTGCAAATATGACCCAAGGTAGTACACTTTTATCATTTTCTTGCTAATTCCAAGGACTTGGGAGAAGTCAGTATCATGCAGAACCAAGAATAGTGACCTCTGCCTTAGCTAGTGGCAGATGCTCTGTCTGAATCCTTGACTTTGTTTCTCTGGCTTGCAAGCCACAAACTGTTTCTCACGTAGGTTCTGGCTACATGCTGGTTCTCAGCAGTGATCGAAAAGAAGCCAGGCCTTCATTTTTAGGAACGTGTCTGATGCCAGAAAACCTAGAGCTTGGAACATAGATACTTCAAGGGTGTCTCATCCTTAGCTGGGAGTGGGGGCTGTAACCCCAGCTCTGGCACTTGAGGGTAACGGCAGAGAAAGGAGAATAGCTGGGGCTTGCTAGCCAATCATGCAATTGAGAAAATGGGAAGTCCTAGGTTTGGTGAAAGCCTGTATCGTTAGTTACAAGATGGAAAGCCACAGATGAAGGCACAGGGTGTCCTCCTTTGTCCTTCTCACGTGTGTAAACCTGCACATTCACGCATGCATGCATGCATGCATGCACCCACTCATTTTCTTCCCTTTAAAACTTGGTTATAAGAGGAAGAAGGAAAATGCCACAGGCCCAGGCATCCTTCTGCTTGCCTGGAGGAAGCTCTCCTGGTCGAGACTATGTCTTTTCTCTCCTACATTTCTCCAGGACAACTATCTCTCTGACATCCCATACAGCTAGAGAGAGCAGAGCACAGCCACGTGTCCCCCTTCCCTCTCATTCTTTTGTTTTGTTTGAGACAGAGTCTTTCTCTGGGTAGCTCATGTTGGGCTTGACATTGTGCCCGTCTGGCCTTAGCCTCTAACTGCTGGGAACGTAGGTGTGCCACCACTCTTGGCCTTTCCCCTGACTTTTAAACTCTATTTTATTAGGATGGAACTAAGGAGTCCTGATTAGAAATACACATTTCCCAGTCTATTAGCTTTTCTGCAAGTGTTTTTCTCAAAAATGTCCTTGAGGAAGAAAATAACCTCACAGAGGGAAAACCACCAACAGTAAATACTGTCATATAATAGTTTGATTAGGCATAAGTACTTTAAAATGTGCTGTTGGAAATGATTATTCCGTCTGTACATTTTGTAGTAAATGACTTACAGAAAAACGGCAGCACACTGCGTGTCTTTTAGCGCTCTGGTTCCTGAGGAAGGCCTGGGATTTGGACATTTTTGACTAATGGTTCTTGTTTGGGTCTCCTCCCTCCCCCACTCCCCACACTGAAGATTTGAATCCAAGGCTTCACACATGCCCTCAGATGAACCTTACAATAAAAAACTGCCTAAAATGATCTCTTTAGTTTTAATGTAAGTCTAAGAAAAGCAGACAAAAGGGTGAGGTGAGGAATTGCAGACCTCACTCTGCTGCGGACTTTCTCTGTAGTTTTAGGCCAGTAAGCCATTGTTTCTGAATTCCAGTTTTGAATCCTTTGGTGTCTTACCCAGAAATTAAAAAAAGGGGGATAGAGAGGAGGAGAAGGAGCCCAGGGAAAGTGTGGGCCTGGGGTCTGTGCCCTGGGGAAGGCTGGTGGAAACTCCTGCTAGTGATGACAGTAGCTGAGGCTGTTAGAAGCTCATGGAAGGGCTGTGGAGACGGCTTAGTCAGCAAAGTTCTTTCACAGGAGCATGAGGATCTGAGTTTGCTCTCCTCAACCCTGCATGAAAATCCTAGGTGTAGAGGTGCATGCTTCTGTGACCAGAGCACCAGGAAGGCAAAAAAAGAAGGTCCCTGAAATCACTAACCGACCATCCTATTGGGTGAGTCCCAGGCCAGGGAGAGACCCTGTCTCATGAAACAAGTGAGGCTGTCCACTGGCCTTCACAAACACAGTCACATGCAGATCTGTGAGCACATGCACGCGCGCTCTCTATCTCGCGCGCGCGCGCACACACACACATACACACATAGAGGGACGGAGGGACGGAGGGAGGGAGGGAGGGAGGGAGGGAGGGAGGGAGAGAGAGAGAGAGAGAGAGAGAGAGAGAGAGAGAGAGAGAGAGAGGTGTCATGTCATGCTGCAGCTTAGGGAGACTGTACTTTGCTAGCTTTTGCCAGGGTGCTAGGGTCAAGCTACCCTCTCCAAAAGAAACACAAAAATAGAAATAATCTAACAAGAATTGATGATATTGATATTTCTGTGATACCACATCTTTTTGTATAACTAGTGGTCTCCATTTCCCCTGCCCCTGCATAATTCTCTTAAAAACTAGTTAAAGTTGACCATATGAAGGCTTTGTGTAAGTGCGGTTTCAGGTTGTCTGGACACTGAGAATAATGTTGCCTTTTCATGTGGATGCCTATCTGGCACTGAACAGAAATAGGCCCTGTTGAAGCAGGGCTTTGGAGCCAGAGGTGACCATGGGGATTTCTGAAAAATTGCACAAATCTCAGAGAGGGATTTTGTTTTCCACACAACATAAAATGAAAGGTTGGGGGAAATATCACATAGGTTCCAGGATGATGGGAAACTCAACTGATATGTAAGTAAAATAACTTCCCAGAGTGCCTGAGTTTAACGCCGAATGTAGGGAGCTTTTGCAACAGAACTCACCTTGCTCCACTTTCACAGATGACTTTACAGCCGTGCGATTGATGACAATGAAGACCCTGCAGAACAAGTCAGTAAGACACACATGAGGGCCTTGTCTACAAGCTGCATCCTTTCTGGATCACCCCATCCTGTCTGTCAATCTCTTACGAGCTTATATTTTATACGGCACAGTAAGCAGACCATTCACTTCTGATCTGGTTCGTATTGACTTCACTGAAGCCCTCCAGATCTTAACTCCAAGCTGCTCTCCCATCACCCAACCCCATTAAACTATCCTCCGAGCTTGTTCTGTTGTTATTAAACCAATAGGTCCATTGTAATATTAGCCCATTGTCTATACAGCCAGCAAGTCACTACTGAAAGGACACAGTCTGCCGAGCTTAGTGTGAGCAGATAGCCGTGAATCCAACAGTCAATGGCTTCATGCTCACGGCATTTTTAGTGTCTTCTGAGACAGATTTTGATGACTATTTAGATAATTAGTTAAGGAGTCAGTTAGGGTCGAGATACGCACGACGAAGTAGAGGAAAGCCAGAGGGTGTAACAGAGTTGTTTCTGAATCTGTGTGGTCAGGGAAAGCAAAGGGAACATTTTGCCTCAGTACTCACCTGTGTGGGCTGAGTTCTCCAACCTCACTGTTGTGAATCCCATGGGCGGGCGAAGACCTTTGACCTTTCTACCCTGCTTAGCATAGTGCCCCCCATGGTGTTCCTTACGTCCTCTCCCCTTGAGTCAGTCACCAAGGCCATGAGTGTATACATCATGATCGAGAGAGTCTAGTGTATTGTAGCGAGTGTGTATGTGAGGATGTGGAGTGCACAGACGGCGGGATTTTGCTGTGTAGCGACAATGTAGATTGTCATTGCTGTGTCACTGCAGACTGTACCTGCTTGAGCACAGTGTGGTCAGAACTGTTGCCATGGTAGGGTTAGTAACAGTAGCTCCCTTTGAATTCTGCTTTCTTTCGTCACTTTGGGGCATAATAGCTCCTCCTCCAAAGCTGATGAAGCCTGGCTAGTTCCAGAGTGTGGCAGGAGAGGGAAGGATGGCTTCACAGCTTCACCAACTTCCACAGAGACAAGGATGCTGGCAGAGGACACAGCTGACTGTCAGGCTTGCCCTTCCAGGAGCATAAGTTCTTCACAACACTTGGTTTCTCAATGCCAGTTCCTCAGAGTGAGAGACATTTGTTGTAAACGTATAATGCTAGCCTCTAGGTGACCTTTCCTTAGAACCTCAGGTCATCCTTTTTTTTTTTTTTTTTTTAGGTCGTCCTTTTTTTATCACAGGAGGAAACTATTGTTATTACTCAGTTGTCTACCTACCCGTGTATGAGTGTATGTTTAACAAATGATTATCCACTAATGTTATGTACATCTAAATATTTACTTAATTATTTATTCCAATTATATAAGTATTAATAATTTAATTATTCAGTCTATTGATATAATTATTAATCTACATGTTTAATTATTATATAATTAATTATTATTAACATATTTAATTAACTGTATTTAATATGTATAGTGTGTGTATGTGATGAAGGTAGAAAAGGGGCTAGTTGCAGGAAGATTGGTAACTGAAGGAACAAGGAACAAGAAAAGGTGACGGGGATGAATATGAGAAAAGTGTAATGACATACATGAAGAAAACGTCATAAGAAAGCCTATTATTTTGTATGCTAGCAAAAGATTTTTTTTTTAAGAAGTATTCTCCAGTTTGAATACAGACAACTTGAAAGAAAGAGTTCTGTTTTCCTGATTATGTAGAGCATTGGTGTGCGTGTGTGTGTGTGTGTGTGTGTGTGTGTGTGTGTATCAAGAAGTGCCACTTCGGGGTTCTACACTCATACCCAGTCTAGTTTCAATCCTAGGTAAAACCAAAACTGTATAAGCCTGTTATAAACTTTCCAAAGCCCAACATGACAGGAAAGCAGTCCTTACTGCAGGTTGACTTTAGTCACATCCTCAGAATTAGGAACTGTCCAGGTTGCTTGGAAGACCTGGCCGCTTAGGGACGTCAAGTTATAGACACTGCTGTCGTTGCAGTTCTGATCTGCTCCATTCCAGGTACCCACTGGGCTGTTCTCCTTCAGTGCTTTCAGGATCACGGCACTGACTGAATCATTCACAGGGACCATCACTAGAGGAAAGGATATGAGGAAGCCGTTAGCGTGAGCCAAGTGAAACCAAGGTGGTGTGTGAGCGAGGCAAGCTACGGAGTGGATGGCATGAGCCCGCTTCTGTAGAAGAAAGCAGAGAGAGCCTGACTGGGAACCTAGTGTGTCACACACCTGTAACTCCAGATAAGGGATGGAGGATCATGAGTTCCGTATCCTCTTCAGCTAGAGGGAAACTGAAAGCCTGCCTGGGCTACAGATGATTTTAATATTCATCTTTATGCTTGTTTTTTTTTTTAATTTTCCAAATAGTCTACAGTGAAAGGCAGCTATGAGCCTGACCATCCTCTGGCCTTGGTTTTGCTATGGGGGCTATAGATCCTAATAGAAAAAAGGAAAGCCTCTCCTCTAAGGTGAGTACCCATGAAAGGGTTTGGAGGTCTACTAGGACGTGCTCCAGGGATACAAGGGAGTACTGTTGCTAAGCAAAACCAAAGGCCTGCTCCTGACCCCAGAAACGCTGACCCTCTGGGTTATTGAAGGTGGAGGCTGGGTAGGACAGGGGTTGGACTAGGTATGAGACACTCAGGTCCTAATTCAAGGACCAATACCTCTGAGAGTTTTTCTCTACTCAGATGAGGTTTATGACCCAGCCTGCCTGCACTTACAGGGACCTGGCTGACATTTTATTAATTTCAACATGAGGATATTCTAGTGTATCTGGTTTTTTTCCCCCCTAGACGAGCCTGTATGAGTAAATTCCTCAGTATTGGGCCATTTCCGTCATCTGAAACTCCTTCCAAAGCAAAGCAAGTGGATCTAGTATCAGGTCAGACAGCCCTGGACCTGCATCCTGGCTCTGGTACTTAGGAGCAAGACAGATCCTCTGCGCCCTGGCTTCTTCTTGCTCAGTGACCACTGTACCAATTTGTGTGCTTTGAAACAGGATCTCCTCCTAAGCTGGATTCAAATGTAACTGAAGATGACCTTGAACTCCTGATGCTCCGTCTTGTGTATAGACATTCCAGGTATATGCTGCCACTCCTGGGTTATAAAAGGCAGAACATTGAACCTAGAGCTTGGTATGTGCCAGGTAAGTGTTCTGCTAATTGAGCTACATCTGTGACTGCTATGCTTTTCTTTTTCTTTCTTTTTTTTAAGTTCTCTCTTTGTGCTTGCCATAGGCTCTGGGTTTGGGAAATGACATTATCCCTCGTAGTCTGTTAGGACTAAAGAGAAAGAAGATGCTAACATTTGTGGTTTATAGCAGATAAACTGTGATTGTTATTACTAATTTAAGCACATTGTATTTCCTCGCCCTGGTTTGCTTTGCCAGGAAGGTCAGCTGACCCGAATCCCACAAGTCCTGAGTCACTCAGAGAGGCGCTGACTCCTGTCTCACATAGTTGCATGGTGGTGTGGCGGAAGGTGATGCAGGATGCTGTCATCTAGCTAGCCAGCGACCCTCTGAGCGACCCAACTGTTTTCTCCGTGGTTCCTTTTCTGCTTCTGCTTTCACTGTGGGCTCCGCTTTCCTTCCTTCCTTCCTTCCTTCCTTCCTTCCTTCCTTCCTTCCTTCCTTCCTTCCTTCCTTCCTTCCACTTGGGGGTCTCTGGATCTGTGGCCTCAGTCTCCTTTAGATGCTTTGAACATTCGGCGGTCAGACCAGACTTCCTCATATAACCTGTTACACGGGATGTATGCCCGTCCACCTAGAGAATCTAACTGCTCCTGCCTTCTCATTCCTATTGCTCTGGCTGTCTGCCTTCTACTCTAGGGACAGCTGCTGTTTCCCACCTCCCCCACCCTTGCCCCCAGCTGTTCTGCAAACGCACCTGGCTCCTATCTGACCCACACCTGGGCCTGGTGTTTGTTCCCGTCTGGGTGCCTGTCTGGAGCCTTCCTTCCTGGTTAGCTTTTAGCCCATATCCACTTCCACACCCAGATCTTGCTCACATCCCCCCTCTGGACTAGCTTACCCTAATTCCCTCATATCTGAAACATTCACAGCCTTTCTACAGAACTGAATACTTAGTTGTACTTTATGGTTTTATCACTCAGCATCCAGGTAGCCCAGCGTTTGGTGCTAAACAACTACTTTTGATTGATTCCAATGGGATTGAAGTGGACTGTAGCTAGGGCTGGGGAGGACGGTAGCTAGGGCTGGGGAGGACTGTAGCTTATAGTCAAGCATGCTTGAAGCCTTGGGTTCTGTCGCTAGCACTTAAAAAACAATCCTTTATCCAATGGAACTTTCTGTTCTAGAAGCTGGAAAGTTAAGGAAGTAGAAAATTACATCCTTGTCTGGAGCAGTGGACAACCGGTCAGAGGCTGCCTTAGCAGTGCCTCTGTGTAAGTGTTACAGGCTTCTTTCCTTAACAGGTCCGAGGGGTAGGGTGGGGGTGGGGTGGGGTGAGCCCTCTGAGAGGCTGGCTAAGCTGTGCTGTCTCTAGGGTCTGCCAAGCCATTTATTCATGGTTTGCCAGCGTTGATGCTATGCTGAAGTAGTAAAGGATTTCAAACCAAAGCAAGGCAAGGTGGCTAACACCGGGTCTTCAGAAAGCCCGAGTCTCAGCCACAGCACCCCGCAAAGGTATTTGTAAAGCCTTCTTTGTAACTGTAGGTGTGGAATTCGGTCCTTCTCACCCCATGGAAGAGGATTTTTGACCCTCAATTTAAAGTACGAGTCAGATTTACCTCAGAGCTCAAACACATTTTGGGGTGAAATGGAATCTGATAAAGAGCAAAGCTAGCTTAGGCACTTGAGGAAGCTGAGGTCTTTCTTTTTCCCCTGAGGCTACTGGGACCGCTGTGGATGCCCTTCCCCCACCTTCCCCCATTGTCTTGTGTTTTCTCCTTCCTGCCTCCCTCCTTTCAGAAAGACTCCCACGTCTTCGTCTTATCTCCCCCCAGTAGACTTCTCTTTCTCCCATTTCAGCAGCAGCCTGCCTGTCTCCTGCTGTGCCATCTTACATCGGGCCTGCAATCGCCCTTGCAGTAATGTATTCATACACACATTCACCCAGTGTTCATCTTGGATTACGGACTTATCTTCCCTGCTCTGATATGAAAAGACCCATTTCCCAAGGGAATGGGACATAGTCCTGTTACAGTAGGTGCATTTGCTCAGTGACAGTCACCAGGAAACTGGAGAGAGACAAGCAGTGGAGTGGGGAGGTCTGGTGCAGTGGCTCACCTTCCAGGCTGGGACTCTGCAGATCATGCAAACGGCAGTCACCATAGTGACCCTCGCACGGTTTGCTTAGACTAAGAGAGGAAGTGTGTTGTAGGAGCTAGGAAGGCAGGCTGGCTTTTGGCTTTAGGCTCAAATACTAGTTCTGTTACATTCTAGTGACCTTGGGTAAAAAATTGACTTCTATATGCTTTCTTTCTCCTCTGGAAAATGGGGGTTACTAATAGCATTTTCCCTTAGAGCAAAGTCCAGCACATAGTAAGTCCTGTTAGCCTTATAATGTTGGATGCTCGTCTAGTTCCTCCGTTTCCACAGCTCTGTGACTGGAGCCAGGAGGTGGTGGCGGAAGGAGTGGGGCAGAGGAGAGGGCCCGGTGAGTAAAGGCACTTGTGAAACCTGGTGTTCAGTCTCAGATCCTCAAGATTGGAGAGCAGCTACTCCACAAAGCTACCTTCTAGCCTGCACCAGAGTGCCAGGACATGCGTGTGACTGTGTGCACACACATTACACACACCATAAGGGTGCACACACTATAATAATAAAAAAATTTAAAAACCAACTGTAGTTGCTTTAAAAAAAATAAACCCAAATAGATGAATAAAGCTAGCCAGGAAAGCGAATTCCTTGACTAACAGGTTTGACTAATTAGAAAGTGTGTTTTTAACTTGTAGGTTTGTTGAATCCCATAAGGGAAAGTTATGAAATACTTTCCAGATACTTCTAAAAAAAAAAACATTAGATTAAGATTGAACAACCAGGAGTCAAAGAGCTTCTGCCCCTCGCTGGCAGGGAGTCCCCTGAGAGTCATTTAACATCTCTGCCTTTCAGGTCCCTCACACATAAGGTAGGTTCTGGCACACATGGCTTTTCTCATACACTAAGCGCAAATCATCCTTCCTGGAGTCCTGCAGGGTACATTCTGTCAAGTAGGTGTGAAAGGACAGTAGACTGCTAAGAATTCCCTCAAAAATAACACAATGTCCGCTTAATTCATCCATGTCTTGCTGGGGTGTGATCTGCCTGGGGGCTCAGTTTACCCCACCTGCGATTCAGTTATGGACAGGGAACTATAGAAACAGTCCTCCCGATCCACTCTACCACCTATCAATCACCGCTCCCCACTTTCCGTCATGTCCACACACACATATGGAACGTTCGCGAGCCTGCTTAACGCTCCACAGAGAACAAAGGGCAGCGGTGTGAGTGGTTTTGACTCACCTGTGTAGACTGTATTCCCACCAGAGACCTCAGCCGTAGTGTTGATTCCCAAGTTGTTGGAGTCGTAGACTTCATCAAAGACCACGCAGGACCCATTATCACTGGCAGACAGGGAAGGGGAAAAGTGCAGAGCCAGGCACAGGAGCAGCCCTAGGTGTGGCAGCAAGGAGCGGAGCGCGAGCATCCTGCCGGTCTGTTTGGGTTGCAGGGCCTGGCAGTAGTAGGACTAGGTGTGACAGGCTCCTTTTTATATGCTCTGGGGCTGGAGCTTCTGGGTGAGGTCATGCATGCAAATTGCCCTCCCTCCCTCCTGAAAATACTGCCTTCTGGAATTTGGCCCAAGACATCACCGGGATGAATCACCCAGCCTCCACTTTTGTGACCAACGATCCTCTACCAATTCCAGTTTTGCTCAAGAAGAGGAAAATTATCTGGCCAAATTATCTGACATGACCCGCGTCTCAGCACCTCCTCTCTGAAGAAGTGGAAAAGGCTGGTGAGGAGTTCTAAACGCTGAAAGTGGAAGTCCACAGTTGAGTAATTACCACGTAGGTGGTCTGGTTGGAAGGCCTACTTTTCTCTGTCAGAAACTCAGACACGGAAGCCCTTTTTATCTCAGAACATTGAATAGCCGTTTCTGATGGGCCTCCAGTTTCTTCATCTCATGACTAGCCTAGAGCTGGAAAGACTGGATATTTATTTACCTATTTTTAAATTATATTTGTTGATTTTGTGCGGGGGGGGGGGTCAGGGAGATGGGAGGAGGTTGCAGAGGCCACAGTGTGTGTGTGTGTGTGTGTGTGTGTGTGTGTGTGTGTGTAGCAGGAGGTCAGAGAACAACTTTCAGGAGTCCTTTCTTTCCTTCCATTACACGGACCATTAGGATTGAACTCAGGCTGTTAGAGTTAGTGGCAAATGTCTTCAGTCACAGCCTGGACACTAGCCCTACTTATTTATTCTTTAGACAGAGTGTCACATGCATTCCAGGCTTGTCTTGAGTTCTCTTTACAAGAGGAGAGCCTTGAAGTTCATATATATAGTCAGGTTCTCCTATATAGCCTTGACTGGCCTGGAACTTGCCATGTAGACCAGGCTGCCCTCTAACTTCCTGAGATCTGCCTGTGTCTGCTTCCTGAATTCTGGGATTAAAGGTGTGTACTACCACACTCAAGATTTTTTTTTTTTAATCCCATGTTCTTGTGAGTGGGTGTGGCATGTGCACGTGGGAGCAATGGCCCTGGAAGGCCAGAGGCATCAGCTCTCCTGGAACTGGAGTTATAGAGATTTATGACATGGTTCTGAGAACCCGCTGTCCTCTACCAGGGCAGTGTGAGCGCTTAACCACTGAGTCATCGCTGCAGCCTAAGACCTTGAATTTCTGTTCCTCCTGCTTTAACATCCCACCTTTCGGAATTGCAGCAGTGTGCCATCACGCCCAGTTGAAACCAGCACTGGGGACTCAATCCAGGGCTTCCTAGAAGACATGCAGGCTTTACCAATGGAGACACATCTGCAGCATCATAGTTTTATGTATTTATTTGGAAAGAAATATTTAGGTCAACATTGTTCCTGAAACTTCCCTCCATAATGCCAAAGCACAGGGAAATGATTTTTAAAAGTTGGGAAATATTTTTTCATAACCCAACCCCTCCTAAAATTTTATAATTTACCCAGGATTATGAATATGGAGATGAGGGAGAAGTAGGCTACTTTGTAAATAGAAAAGAAACAAAACTACTATTGAACCAAGGCAACAGTTTTAAAATTTTTTGTTAATTTGTGTATGTGCCCCCCCCAGTGTGTGTGTGTGTCTGTGTGTGTCTCTATGTGTGTGCGTGTGTGTCTGTGCATGTGTGTGTGTCTATGCATATGTGTGTGTGTGTGTGTGTGTGTGTGTGTGTAGATCAGAGGAGAACTCATGGGAATTGGGTCTCTCCTTCCTCCATGTGGGTTCTGGGACTTGAACTCAGGTTGTCAAGCTTGGTGGCCAACACCCTTCACCTGCTAAAGCATTTAGCACAGTAATATTTTTAAGTGTTCCCTTAAGAGAAACATGGGGTCTTGGGTTGAGGAGCTCTGGAAAATCTGTTCAGCATTAGCAGTGGGGAATATCTACAATAATGTCAAAATCTGCTTTTCAGAAACCTTTAGAAATTAACCAAAGGTTTTCAAATAGTCTGGAAACATATTTAAAGAAAAAGAGTGGCTGAGTGTCATTGGAAATGGTGACAGTAGCATCTTAGCTTGTCTGGACCCACTTTCTAACCTCATCTCCATGGTGGCCACAGAAATTGACAAATCTACTACAGCAACTGTGGAGACCTGAAAACTAGCAACTGATGGGAGAGTCAAGGTGTGGAGTCTCCCAAAATAGTCTCGTCCCTGGGAATGGTCTGTGTGACCTTCCAGGAATCTGCTTGTAAAGTCGCCTTCTTAGAACTTAACAATCATTTTGACTGAATTCAGAACTTTCTCTATGAACAGTCTTATTAATAGGGTGTTGGTCAAAGATAGTCAGTGGGGGATTTTAAGCATTGTCAAGAGGCAGTGAGTCCATGACCAAGAGATTGAATTAAAAAAAAAAAATCCAACATAAAAGAGTTTTGAATGCTGCAACAAATTCCTGAGAAGCTCGGTTGTGTGCGCTGTGTGTGCACTGTTCTACACGTGAGTAAGAAGGCACCGAGAAAACCCCTCTCACCTTTGACACGTGTTGAGACTCTCACAAACAGGAAGAGGAGGCTAAGTTAGAGTCATAAAACTGCCTGGCTGGTCACAGAAGACATACCCCAAATGTAGAGGGAGAGAAGCATTCAGTGATGCCTGGGAGGGTTCTTGTTTAAAATACTGAAGGGAATTTCTTCTGTCTGTTCACTAGACCACAACTAAGTTAACTAAACAGAGACTCAGGGGCCACACATGCTAAGGAATTGAGTCTCAGAGAATCAATTCAAGAAACTCAGGAGCCAATAACAACAGCAGCAACAGCTGCAGGGGTGGAGTTAGGGCTGCTAGGGCTTAGAGTTGACACATCATAGTTTTTGAATGTTCAGTCTTCAACAGAGAGTTCCAAGATGGAGGCTGGGAGTGTAGCTCACTGATAGAATGCATGTCTCATTTACCCAAGACCTCAAGTTTGAGTCTCAGCACTGGAAAACAAAAACAAAAGCAAACAAACAAAGCTACAATACATATATACATATATACATACATACACATATACACATATACACATACATATACACATACATATATACATACATATATACATATATACATCATATATACACAAACACACATATATACACATATACACATGTACACATATACACATAAATACACAAAAATATGGTCCATAAAGAGGGAAAAATTTATCAGTAAACAGAAACTGTACTTGATGAATCCAGTTATTGAATTTAGTAGATAATATATTAGTATATCTAAAGGATTAGGAATTGTGTCTATAGAGTTAAAGGAAGGTACCTAACATTGAGTCTGCGCAAATAAAGAGTAATAATAAAGAGACAGAAATGTTTTAAAAACATAAGTGAACCAAATAGAAATTCTGCAGTTGAAAGTCTAATAGTAAATTAAATTAATTAATTTTTGAATAGGATCTCACTTTATAGCCCTGGCTGGCTTTGAGCTCCCAGAGATCTACTTGTTTCTTCCTCCTGAGTGGAGGAGAGTAAAGACAGGCACCACCATAGGCTGTCCTTGTAGTGGTTTGAATAGGAATGGCCCCATAGTCTTACACATTTAAATGCTTGGTCATTAGGGAGTGGTGCTCCTTGACCCGGATTAGGGAGTGTGGCCTTGTTGAAGGAAGTGTGACACTGGGATTAGGCTTTGAGGTTTCAGATGCTCAAACCAAGCCTGGTGCCTCTTTCTTCCTGCTGCCTGCCAATCCAGATATAGAACTCTCTGCTACTCTCCAGCACCTCTGTGAAGCCTTGCTCCCTGCCGTGAAGATAATAGACTAGACCTCTGAAATTTCGGAGTTGCCATGATCATGGTATCTCTTCACAGCAATAGAAGACTGAATAAGACAACCCTAATAATAAATTGCTTAAAAACTACTAAGATTGGGCAGCAGATCTCAACTGGCTGTTGGAAATATCAGTAAGCTTAAGGGTGCTCACTTGAATACAGAGTTAAGAAGAGGGGTGGGGTGCAAGGTTTATATACTGAAAACAGCAACTACCCAGAACAGCAAAAATGGTCTGAGAAAACAAAACAAAGCAGTTTGAGTATTCACACTCTCTGATTTTAAACCCCACTGCAAAGCTATGATGGGACAGGACGGTAATGGCCTCTGTACGGCCACACAGATCAGGGGAGTAAAAGTAAGCCCCGTGATTACAAGCAGGTGACTTACTTGGTAGTTTCTGGCTTTTAGACTTACACCCAAGGTTTGCACATGCTGTACCACTGAGTCACTGTAACCTGACCCCAACCAACTGATGTTTTAAAGAAGGGGGCAGAAGAATTCACTGGGGGAAGAACAATGTTTTTCATGTTGTCAATAACTGGATATTAGTATGCAAAAGAATGAGGTTGGGCCATAAACATTAACTCTTGATGAACCAAGCTTGGATCTAAGTGTAAAACTAAGAAACGTGAAGAAAAAAATGTTTAATCTTTCTGGCCTTGGTAGGGACAATAGCTCCTTAGATGTGCTGCCCAAGGCAAAGGTAGGAAGAAAAAAATAGATGGGGTTTCATCAGAACTAAAATGTTTTGTTTTCCAAAGGGCACTATAAAGGAAAGAAAGGATAGCTCACATAGTTGGAGAAAATATTTATGAATTTTATATACCTGATAGATATAATCTCTCTCTCTCTCTTTCTCTCTCTCTCTCAATCTCTCTCTCTCTCAATCTCTCTCTCTCTGTATCTATAGATGGGCAGAGAGTTTGAATACTTTCTTCCAAGAGATAGTTGTATTCAGTGTGCATGAAGAAGGGCACTCAGCAGCATTAGTCATTGGAGAAATACAAATGAAACCTACTAGGACATCCTACACTTCAGACACTGCAATAATGGTACCAAACGTGGGGGACTCACAGCCGGTGCCCCATGTCAGGTCTGGCCACCTGCCCTCAATAAGCCAATAAGAGCCAATTAAAAATGGAAAACAGGAAAAGGAGATTTATTCAACGTGGTCACATTGGGAAGAGAGATGAGGAGAGCCATTGGCCCCTCAAGCCTGTGTTCT